GCATCCGTCCTCCAGGCCTGGGGGAGAGAGTTGTTTGCTGGGGAGGTTCGGAGAGATTCTAACGAATGTGAGAACTGAGGGTCTGGCGTCCCTCCAGCTGTTCAGGGGGTTGTATGCTTGATATCCAGGATGATTCTTGGTTTGCCTTCTGTTCGACACCCTGTCCCATTGGGCGTAGGGTTCCTGGATCAGCACAATGTCGTAGCCACCTTCCCATGCCAGCGATAGGGCGATGTCCTGGTATGGACCGCTCCTCCCGACGTTGGCTTGGAAGATTTTGAGGCCAGTGTTTCTTCGGCGGCTGCGACGGGGCCTATCGTTCATAGGCTCGCATCGAGGGGTCCGTCAGTTCCGGGGGGAGCGTCAAGCATGTTTTCGTCCCCTTCTGTCTCTACGTCCTCCTCCTCGCTGTCCGGGCCGGCCACGTGGACTGCCGACCTGGCGGGGGAGGCTCCCTCGTGGGGGTCCTCCTCGTCCGGGTCGACTTCGACTATGACCTTCTTGGCCGGGGCCTGAGGGGGGAAGGGTGGCGCCGAGCTGGATATTGGCAGCCGTATGCGGGGGCCCGTTCGGGTTTCCGGGTTAGACGTTTTCTCGGCATTGGGGGCCGGGGCGGGGGCAGGCTTGGGTTTGGGTGGGTTGGCTTTGTTGTATTCCTGCTGGCCCAATTCCCGGATTGCCTGGAGTTGGGCCCGGGTTGTGTGCACTTTTTCCCCGTTCCTGACCGCCGGTCTAGCAGGGCATTTTAGGGAGTCTGCCGTGTGAGGGCCATTGCAGTTGGCGCACTGCGGGGGGGACGGGCAGTCTGCCATGTTGTCGGTGTGCCTGTATGACGGCCTGCCGCATTTAAGGCACCTTTCTGTTCTGGTGCAGTTCCGGGGATTGTGGAAACCGAGGCACCGTTGGCACTGAGTGACCCGGGGCTGCTGCACCCGGACTTCCGCCGGGTGGGAGATATTGAATAGTCTGAAGCCGGGTTTGACGTTCTCCTTGAACGAGATGAAGTAGCCGCAGGTGTCAAGAGATTCCCCGAAGGGGGCCTTGCGGCAGGCCACTGGTGGGTTCTTGGCCCCAGCCCTGGCGCGCGCCTCCTCGGGGATTAGCGCGTCCGTGGGGTGGGTCCCGCTCATGTCAGTATAAGTTTTCGGCACGCCACGCACGAGGAAGATCTTCCATGTGCATGCTTCTTCGATTTTTAGGTCGTTGCTCTCTGCGGCTGGCTTGAGAGCGATGATTTTGTTCTTGGTGTTTTGATCCTTTGCCCGGAGGGCGAAACCCGATCGGACCTCCTGGAAGTAGGTAATGTCTTCGACGTTGAGTTTCATGAGGCTGATCAGTTCCTGTTTAGCCCCGATGGCCGTCATCTTCCTCCAGACATGGTCTGGCGGGACCCGGATGAAGATGCGGTCATCGGGCTTTTGGTTGCCCGATGTGATTTTGTCTTTGTTCTGTTTTCTGTCAGCGGGGGCCGGCCCCTCGCTGCTGGGAGCAGGATTCTTCTGGGTGTTGCTGTCATTTTGCGGCTTTTTGTTGTGAGTGGTGTTCCGCGACGCGACCTGTGCCCACGTGACCTTGGGGGCCTTCTGGCCCACTTTTCCAGTGGCTGCGGGAGGTCCCGTTGTGGTGGGGTTCTTGGGGCCGTTTGATTTGCCTTCCTCGCTGCGAGATGAGTTGGCTGACGCTGTCTCAGATGGTTGGGCAGCTCTTTCCTTGCTGCCCATTTTTTCAGGGTTTTTGGGCCTCCCCTCTGGGTTGATGTGGGAGGTGACGAAGTTTTCGAGTGCGGTGTTCAGGCATGTTCGGACCTGTTCTGCCACCGCTGAGGAGAGTTGGGATGTGTATTGCGCCAGGCAGGAGTCGATAGCCATAGCTATATTCAATACCACGTCTTGTCTGGCCCGTTGTTGGGCGTTGATCTCGTTGATTTGGCTCATGATTTTGTTTTTGGTGAGTGATTTCCCCTCTTTGCTTGGGTCGGTGGCTTCCTTTGCACCGCTGAAAATGGAGGCGATGAGGCCTCTCGAGGCTGTCTGCGCTGCGGTCGATGTCGCCGCTGTGCTTGGTTTTGCTCTGTTGAAGCTGGGTGTGGGCATTTTGTCCATACCGAGGGCTTCTCCGAAGCGCCTTTTCTTCTTGGGGGTGAAGGGGAGGACCATGACCTCTCCCGTGCTTGGGCCTGAGGGGGTCGTCTCCTTCTGAAATTGAAAGACTGTCGCGGGTCCGGGGGCGACGGGGTTCGTTCTGTTCTGGTTATCCGGAGGGTTTGTAGATGTTGCCATCTCTCCAGAGTCCCCAGATGGGACCGTGAAAGTAAAAAACGAGGTCGTTTTGTCTGATAGCTAGTCAAACAGAGTGAGGGTTTTTGGTGGTTAGGCACCCAAAAGGTGGGGTACCTGTAGATGTAGGAGGGAAGCTTGTTCCTATACTAGCGAGGTATTTTGGCGAAAGTGTTATTAAGTTCTCCTAATTCCTCTTTTTCTCGTATTTTGCTTAGTGCATTATTAAGTACTACTAGCTTGTCTTTAAATTATATTGTAATTCTATCGATGCAGATACGTTCTGCTTTCTTACGTCGTTTATTATATTATAGTAGTACCGGTGATTTATTTTCTTTAAACCTGACTGTTTTCGTTTTCTTCGTAATTAGCGCAGAGGATTCCGGTTCTTCCGGCGGCGCAGCTTTGCCTTTTTATTCTCTCTAGTATAGTTAATATTTAGGTATATCCTTAATGTCCTAATAGACCTTCTTAGTCTTCCAGCGGATAATAGGGTTATTATTAAGTAACCAGGGATAACCTAAAAGAATGTTGTCTTTCGGTATATCTAGAACACTGAATTAGATATTATAGGTGTTCCCGTTAATGGTTACGGGGAGATAATCAGTCTTGTATTCGATAAGTCCTTCTTCCATTTCTACTCCCGTAACGCTTATGATTTATAGCGCTTGTTCCTTCCGTTAAACGGGGATTCGTAGTTCCTTGATTAGTCGTAGCGAGATTAGATTGCGATCTGCTCCGCTGTTAATGTACGCAGTGACGGCACTATTATTAAGTTATACGTTAATTCTAAGTTTCTTTATTCCAGTTATCTTAACCATGTTAATTTATATATCCTTTTTCTAGTTAAGATCATAGTTGTCTTTGGTAATAATATTAAAGTCTTTAATCATCCATCGTCGTGCTTATTACTACCGGAGTTTTCAGCACTATTAATATTTATTAGTGTTAATCTCGTTGATGTAGTATTTATAGAAGCGTTTAATGTCTTTTTTATAGGTATTACCCTTGTCGTAGGTCTTAAAGTTGAATCCGTTACAGTATAACTAATATTAAAGTCGAATATATTTTTCTTTTTCTCTGTAATGCTTTTTATAATATTTATCCTTATATTACAGGGGGTTATTTTCAGGACAGGCTTCCCTTTGTACATACTATTCTTTAACCTTATGGTTAAGGTATTATCTATATCCTTAGTTAGGGCACTGATCTAAATCGATTTTTATATAAATTTTATTATATAGGTTTCTATATTAGATCTAGAGGTGCTAATTGTAAATCTTTTATTCCCAGTGTTCTTTACAGAGTATTTTATAGTATTATTTCGCTATTAAATACCCACAGTCTTCCGTAAATAGGGTATTATACATAAGCTGTATTTCTTCCTATTTAAGGAACTGATCTCTGGTTATAATAGGGTAGTAGGGGTTTGCATTAGCGCGTTCCGCTAACCCGTCGTTGCTTGGCGCTTGTCGCTGGGTGATTCCATGCTGTTTAAGCATCTGCTGGAATTCACTCAGGTCTTATTCTTAAGTTCCTTCTGAACCGTGGTCAGAGGGTTCCCATCCGCAGGGGTGATTTAGTCCCTGGGGTTCTCGTGATCCACAGTTTGCGCATGGTTCCGAGATATTAAGGTCGGTGTATCCTCGATTCTTCCTATACTCTTCTTCCCATCTGCGGATAAAGGCATTTTCTTATTCCTTCTCTTCTTCTGTAAGTGGAACGTTAAGGGCTTCAGATCGTGCTCTGTCGGCTTTATATTCTTCCTAAGTCATAGGGGCAGGCCAGTCGCTGTCGACCTTGTCTTTGGCTTCTTTAGAAGTTATAGTGTTAACTGTAATTTATCTTGGCTGCTTTCTCTTGGGTGCCTTAGGGTACTACTTCGTTATTTCCTTTTCTTCCTTATACATAAGACATCGATCATTATAGCAGCCGGTCTAACTAAGTAAGTTATAAGGTATGGTTTCAATAGTGTTAATCTGAACCTTATTAAACTTCTTATTCTCGTAGGTGGATTTTCTAGAATTATTGGGTTTCCCGTGTTTACTCCAGCAGTCCTTTTCCTTATGGCCTGTCTTACTATAGTAGTTGCATTTGCCCGTGAACTTGCGGGTGTTAATGGTGTCCAGATCTATTGGTCCTGGTTTCCTATTATTCAATAAGGCTAAGTTGCGCTTCTTGCTTTGGTTAGTATAATATTAGAGGCGGCGGTATACCTTATTATTTCCTCCTTTTTCAGCTTGCTTTTCCTTCCGTCGTTTGAATTATTAGTTATTAATATAACTAGCCTTTTTGGAGAGTGTTTTAAACGTGGCCGGAAGATCGTCTCGTACTAGTTTATCTTTTACTTCCGATTTTAGTCCTTAATAATATAATATCTTCTTGGCTGTATCTTTAAGGTCTGTTTTAGCGCAGATTTAAATAAACTCGGCAGTATATTTAGTATATATGCCTTATTATCGGAGTTTTAGTAATATGTTTTCTACTTCCTTTTTTTTATTAATCTAGCCGAATAGCGCCTTAAGTTAATCTTCGAATTCTTTATATCTATTAAAGAGTATATTAGTAGTAGCCTTTCTTTCGGCTCGGTTATGTCGCTTAAAGTCTTAAAGGTATAGTTTAAACCAATTCTTAGGTCCTTTAATAAGTTAGCTTCCTACGACGCTGACTTGTCGTTCCGGCGGGGCTATAGTAGTTGGAAAGTGCCTGAAATAGGACCTTATGTCCGTAAGGAATCCCTTGATTTTTCGTAGGTCCCTATCAAATAGTATTAGCAGAGGTGGCTTAATAATCTTACCTGGTTCCTTCTCGCGGGGACCTCCCTGCTGGCCTTAAGCCACGGGTGGTTGCCCTTGTTGTTACTGTTAAGCGTTAAGTCGTCTATTAAGCGTGTTAATAGTATTTTATTAGTCCCTGATAGTTTATTCTATGCGGGTAACCAAGGCTTTAAGGTCTAGGAAGCGCTGTTGTGCTTTAGTATTGTTGGCCGGTGGTTGAGGGGTCGTGATCCCTTTTATGTTAGGATTCATGGTTTCAGTAGTTTCTTTAAATAAGTCCGAAATTTTAATGTTGCTTCCGTATGTACTCTGGACTTTGCTTTCTTAATCTATTCCTACGTCTGGTACATGGAATTTAACTATTTAGTATCCTTATAATAATATTACCTATAGTCTAAGGTGACCTCCGAATAAGAGTTGTGAACGTATGATAAGCTGAGCTCCTATAGTGTTAGTATAAGAGGAATTCCCAAGGGATAAACCTTATACTAGGTTTATGTTAGCGGATAGGCTAGGCTAGACTAGTAGGCAATTAACAAGGATAAAAGGGGTTTATTTACACAACTAGTAGATAATACTTTTATAGGTATAATCAAGCGTTATTCTATATTCACAACTGGCTATCTAAGCTATTCTAAACGAGCGTTGTGAAATGAATATATAGTTGGGCGTTTACTTAGTATTCACGCCGTTGTAAGTGAACACTTTCCCAATTGGGTTCCTGTTCACCGAGTGTTCACTCATTGTGTCGTGAACACTTATACGATTGGATGGGACGGTCCGTCCTTTATCCGAGGTGCCTACCCTGTAGGCCCGTTGTTGCGACCATAAATGTGTTGGTTCGTAATAATTATGTTTGAACCTTGTTGTTTAGGCTGTTTTATATACTTTGAGTTTGGTCTTGAACCTTAATTAGCTATACTTTATGGCTTAAATCTTTAAGGTTTAACTTAGTTAGCTGTAGCTAATTAAGTTAGGCTACGGATTGATTTTGGATTTTAAACTAAAGGCTGGGGTATAGCCTTCCTTTAACTTAGCTATTATAGCTTTACTAACCTTTTTAATAATAAATATAACCTCTTTATAAAGTATTATTAAATAAAAGCTATTATATTTTATTATTACTAAATTAAAAAATTTTTTTACTTTTACTATAATAAAATATAAAAAGTAAATTAAAATAAATAAAAAATAATAATAATATTTTTATAAATTATAATTAATATAACTTACTTTATTTATAAAGTACTTTATATAACTTATATTATTTAATTATTATTAATAATATTTATAAGCCCTTTAATAAAGTAAGCTTTTAGCTTATTATTAATAATACCTATAGGCTTTTTAATAAAGTAAGCTTTTAGTTTATTATTAATAATACTTATAAACCCCTTAGTAAAATATACTTTTATAAAAACTATACTTTTCTAAAGCTTTAGGTTAAAGGGGCTTTTATTTTATTATTATTATTATAAAAATGAATATACTTTTATTATTAATTACCTTAGGTTAAATAAAATATAGTAATTATATTATATTAAATTAAGGTTTTTTATTACTATATAAAGCTATATTAGCCTAAATTAAGTTTTTTATTACCCTATAAGTACTATTTTTAGCTTAACTATAAGCCTAGTATTTAAGTATAACCTAGCTAAAATCGTAACTTAAACAGTTATAATTACTAATATACAACCACAAGGGGTCCAGGGGAATTATTATAACTCAATATTATCCAAGGAAAATAAAAACTAATATAGTCCTATTAAAATAATTTATATAAGCTTTTCAATTAGTCAGGAGCTAATTAATCATTAAATCCAATAATTAATTTTAAATCCAGGGTATAATTCAATAATTAATCTAAAGCTAACCTTAGATTTAAATTAATTAATTAATTATATACCTAATCTTCATAGGCAGGACTTCTAGGGTAGTAGTTAAATTATTTATCCTATCAGCGCAATTAGTTCTCCAGCATAATTAAGGTATAATACTAGACTAACGCTCAGAATCATTATAATATAGCAAAGCAGAGTTAGTTAGCAATACAGCGCTAGCTGTCTGCAAGGGATCTTTTGAAATGTCAAGCAGACGAGTTTTCGTATCTTAACCAATAGTTACAGCCAATTACATACATTGGATGCTCACCGAAACGTACGGGAGCGCAAGGCAGCAATATCAGGGTCATTGATGAACTTATATTACAATGGCGCTCACGCTGTGGCTCCAGCCGGACGACAGGGTCGCGTCCATTTGAAATTGCCCAAGACAATGGTGTTAAGCCCGATCTATCCTTAGACTCCATATCGGCGCCACTTTCAATAAGAACCCACGAAATTTCCTCGTGTCCGTTCATTGCAGCCAAGTTCAGGGCGGTACTGTCGCAACCATCCATATCCGCTGACTCAGTGTCGGCCCCCACACGTAAAAGAATCTCGATGACGGCTCGGTGCCCACTGCCGGCGACAAATAACAGGGGCGTCAGTATTACTATAGTACCCCCAGCCAAGCACAAGCCCTAGTAGAGCGCTTACAGAGAGCCTGCGCGCAAGTTATCGAATGAATCTGAACCATTTAGAGGCAGCAGAGGGCCTTTCCACAAGTCAAAGAGCTAGTCCTACGTAAGGCACCTAGGCTAGCCCGAAGTTTTATCAAACACGTTAAAGTTTAACTACGCTAGACATGCCTAATTTTGGGTCTCACGAGGGTGTATTGGGGCAAATCTAACGGGTCCCATAAAACTCCTGCGCTTCTAAAAATAATTCCCGAGAGATTGTCGGGGTAGTATAAAATAAACGAATTCCGTAAGGCTGAACATAGCGTGCAACATCATCCATACGATCCCAAGGGTACACAGTACACCCCCATTCGCCGTCTGTTGGCCTGAATTTGATACTTATGATCTCAAGGGTTGATTTTCGGCCAATGGCTGCCATAGCCAACTTGCGAAGCCAATTTTCTTCAGGCTCGCCAAAGTGAAAAAAGAACTCATCATGCTGCTGGTCTTCGAACGTCATATCCCAGTGGAAGCTGCGAAGCCGAGGCGAAAGCAGGCCGGCAACAAGAGTAGGATCTGTCCCAGTGAGCCCATGAGACAGCGACAGCTCCCGGAGGGCCTGAAAGCCTGAAAGATTAAAGCCGTCTAGCCCTGAACGGTTAAGAGCACGTATGCGAATGGCGGATAGGGTGGATTTGTGGACTGTGAGTATAGGCTGTAGGGTATCCAAGCCCCATTGATCGTACAGGCCGTTCAAAGCATAGTCACATCTGAATGACGTATCCAAAGTGAATTTGTCTAGCCTTGCTGGCCACATCAATAATGACTTGAGAGCTTCTGGAGTCTGGAGGAAGCTATGCAAAGTAAGCTCAGTGAACGATGCCGTGCCACGTATCTCCTGTATAAACGATTAGCAGGATTCGAGTGTATAATTAGTGTCGCAAGTACCCTTAATTTCGCCCAATCCGCAGAGTTTCCAGTCCTTGAGATCCCGGAAATATTTAGTGTCTTAAGGCGCGCGACTTTGCCCGAACAGCAGATGGCGTCCACTATAAGAGGCAAATCTATGCCATCACCACTGACGTCCTTGACTGACAGACTGATCAACTCTTTCATCCCCCCCAAGGCAGAGCGAACAAGGGCCATAGCATCCGTAGTTGTCCTCCCTTCTGAACTAATGGAAAGATTAGTTACGCCGGTGAGCCACGTGACAGCATCTGTTGCAATAAATATGTTGCCCAGACTGTCTGAGTCATTAAACAGCTCGATCTTCAAGTTACGACAGTGTTGCCACAGCTGAGGATTTTTTTGAAGTGTGCGATGCAGCAGCTTACTGCGACACAACTGATTGCTGCGAAACTGCCTCTGGAACTCGTATACAGTGTTGCTTAATGCCATAATGTCGTTATTGCAGTAAATAAGAAGATGAGCATAAATGTAAGGCGTCGCAATGCCGTGGAAGCGTCTGCAAACCCGAGATAGATTTACTGCGGCCCTGCTAACGCCGATGTCATTAAGTGAAGATAGAGGTAGTTGCATTGTTAACTGCAATATTGAATCCAGGATTTCATTAGGAAGTCTCATAATCATTGTCTGCGTTTGCTCCATACTTGAATTAATAGGGCGCGGCGTTGGTTAGCGGATAGTGAGTTTAGAATGGATAATTAGCATGAGTGCATGGTGGCTAATACAGAGGCCGCTTCGGCGTGTATTTAATATTGCGCACCCTGCTGACTAATATTTGCCCCCCCGCCCCCTTTTCTTCTATATACAAATAGCGCTACCATTGCTGGCTGTACGTTCTGTTATGGTATGAGTAATATTCCTGACGAACAGCATTAGAAATTGGGCGTAAATTTGTTTATTTCAGCATACGCCTATATTATATTCCCGCCTTAAGGGGGCCTTAGAGTTACCTATATTGCTTTAATAACTCGGGTCTCTTGTACTGTGCTGTACAAAGGTGCAGATGTGAGAATCTACTAGGTAATGTAAGTTGGATTCTTAGTAAGTGCACTGGGGACTGCTTTAATGCTACCCTATGTAATCTAGACCCTAACTGAGATTAGGGAATTAAAGGAATATAAACACTTACCTAATGTAATAAACGGGCTAATACACTGACACCAGAAGGACAAAAGTCTACGACCACCTTGATTTATTTTACAACTGTAATTTCAACTTAGAATTTCAAACTTAAATTTCGCTATGAAAAATAATTACTATATAATAAAAATATAATTATTTAATGACCTTAAATTTGGTATTTAATATTTTGTATACTAACTTTATATATAAATAACTGTGCGTAAGTAGCAAGGGAGTAATATAATAAACTGGGTCCTATAGGTACTATAGGTTAGCTGTTTCTAAGGGATAAACCTTAGAGTGGTTTTATAGTTTATATTAGCGGAGTAGTTAAGTTAGTAAATAAATAGTTTTATTACTAGCTGTAAAATAAAGTATTTAAATATTTAATTTAAATACTATTATATTAATAATAATTAATTATTTAAGTATTTTAATAAATAATATAACGTAAACTTATATATTTAATTATATATTCTAAAATTAAGTAAAATTACTTATAATTTTAATTAATTTATTCCTACGTTAATTAATATTAACGTTAATTCCTATTAATTATTCTTTAATTAACTATATAGTTTAATATTAATTTAGGAGCGCTTACTTTATAGGCTCTTTATTATAATTATAAAAGCTAAGTTATAATATAATTCTTCCCCTTTTATTAGTTTTATCCTTAAGACTAAGTAATTTAATATATAAGTATTTATACCTTTTACTTAGAGGTATTTTTTTTATTTTATTACTTATTTATTATTAAAATAACTTTTTATATTTAAAAATTTATTAACTTAGCTAATATAAAAAAAAGAAAAAGAAACTTAATAAAAGTATAATACTTATTACTTTTATATTACTATAATTTATTAAAATAAAACCTTATTTTTATTATAAAAAAAAGGGATTTTAGTATTTAATTTCTAAAGTTAACTTAAGTTACTACTTAAAGTATATTAAGGATTATGAATTTTATTATAAAGTATTTCTTATACTTTAATAATTATTATATATTTTTTATTAATATAATTAATTTAATAATAAAGTTAAAGTTATTAAAGAGAAAATTATAAATTATATAACTAAAGTTATTTATTTTTAGAAATAATATAAGAAATAGTTTAAAAAGGTAATATATATAGTATTTTAAGGTATTAATAATTTAGTAAAGCTAAAGTAATTAAAAAAGAAGAAGTATAAAGTAAAGGCTACTTTTTAAATTATATTATTATTATTTAATTTAACTAATTTTATAATTATAGGTTTTATAATTAACATTATTAATTAAAATATTTTTAACTTTTTTTTACTAAACTTAAACTTTAATAAAAGTTATTTATAAAGTTATTTAAATATTTAAGGTCCTTAATAATTTACTATAAGTTTTATATTTTATTATAGCTTTTTTATTTTATTAAGTATTTAGTTTATTAAGTAATTTTATTAAATTTTATTATTTTAAGTTTTTTAACCTTATATTTAAATTTTTTACCTTAAATAATAATTTTATTTTATATAATTTTACTTATTTTTTTATTTACTAATACTTTTTTTAATAGTAAAATATAAAAATTTAAATATATAGTTTTTTTTTATTTTCTTAAGGTAAATAAAAGATTTATTTTATAATTAATAAGTTTAATTTTCTTTATAACTTTACAAAGTTTAAGTTTCTTAACATTAAGTTTATTACTTAGCTTATTTATTTTAATATTTAGTTATTTATTATTTTATAAATATTAAAGTAAGTAAATTATATTTCTTTCTTTAAAAATTAATCCTTTAATTTTTTTTATATTTATAAATTTAGCTATTTATTATTTAATAAATTTAAGTTATACTTATAATTTTTAATATAATATAATAAGCTAAGCTCCTATAGAGTTAGTATAAGAAAGATTTCCAAAGGATAAACCTTATACTAAGTTTATATTAGTAAATAAGCTAAGCTAAACTAGTAGGTAATTAATAAAAATAAAAAAGGTTTATTTATATAATTAGTAAATAATACTTTATAAATATAATTAAGTATTATTTTATTTATAATTAAGTTAACTATAAATAACATAAATTATATATAATTATATTAATTTAAAATAATTTTAATTTTATTAGTTAAATTATTTAAAGTTAAACTAAGTATTATTTACTTAAAAGGCTTATTATTATAATTATAAATATTAAGTTATAATATAATATACTTTTTTTATTAATTTTATTTTTAAAGTTATTTTTATAATAGTATATTTCTTAAATATTTTTACCTTTTTTTTTTTTAAGTATATTTTTTTTTTTACCTTTTATTATATTAGGTTATAGTATTATTAAATATAAGCTTTTTATAAAGCTAACTATTATATTAATTTTATTAATTAAGTTTATTAAAAGTTTTAGTTTTATTATACTTTAATATACTTTTTATTAAAATATAAAGTATATTTATTTTATTATAAAAGGTTCTTTAACTTATTATTATATTTATACTTATTATAAATTAATTAATTATAATATTAATAATATAAATATAAAAATATATATATTATTTTTTTTTTTACTTTATTTATTATTATTTATTTTACCTTATTTAAATACTTATATTATATATAAAAAAATTATTTAACTATTTAATAAAAGTAAGTAAAAAAAGCTTTCAAAAAAGTAATAACTTATTTTTATTATATTTATAAGTAAAAGTAATAATTATATAAAAAAACTATAAAAATAATTTTATATAAATTTAAGTTATTAAAAAAGTTAAAGGTTATTAATTATTAAGTTAAAATAAAGTATTAAGCTAAATTAATATAAGTTTAAAAAAAAGGTTTAACTTTTAAATTCTTTAAGTTTATTACTTATTAATATTAATTAATTCTTTTTTAATATTAATTTAAGGTTTTTAAATTTTAATTTTTTTATTTTAATAAAAAATACTTTTTTATTATTTTCCTAGGTTTTATAAAATATTTTAGGTTTTTTTTATATTTATTTATATTATACTTATAATTATTTATAAAGTTTATTTTAAAATTTTTTTAAAGTAATATTAATATATTTAAAATTACTTTTTAATTCCTAGCTATTTATATTTCTATTATATTTTTTTTATTTTACTAAATATTAAAATTCTTTAATTACTTTATTTATTTTTAATAATATTGTTTTATTAACCTTATATTTAAGTTCTTTACTTTTAATAATAATTTTATTTTTAATAAGTTTTTTTATATTTTTATTTATTAATACTTTTTTTAATAATAAAATATAAAAAATTAAGTATATTAGTTTTTTTTTATTTATTTAATTATTTTAAAAAGTTTAATTTATAATTAACTTTTTTAATTTTCTTTAGAATTTTATAAAGCTTAACTTTTTTATAATTTAGTTTATTACTTAGTTTATTTATTTTAATATTAGCTTATTTTTTTCCTTAAGTATATTAAAGTAAATAAACTATATCTCCTTTTTAAAAAGTTAGCTTTTTAAACTTTTTTTTATTTATATATTTCTTTATATATTTTTATGTCAGTTTAAGTTATATATATAAATCTTAATATAATTCTTTAAGTTTATTTACTTTAAATATAGTTTTTTATATATTTTCTTTTTTTTTATAATATTTAATATATTTATAAATAATCTTTTTTATTAATGTAAAATAGTAAAAGTTTAGTTAATTTTAAAACTAAGTTATTATAAAAGAATTTTATGTTAAATAAGTACTTAACTTAGTTATTTTAATTAAAGTTAATATAGCTTCTTAAGTATACTTTAATAATTTAGTTAATATATTTTATTTATTTATTTATTTAAAAATAGTAAGTAATATTAGCTTTATAGTTTATTTTTATTTTTACTATAGTACTTTATTAATATTTAAATATAAATATTAATTTTTTATTAAAGATAATTTCTATAGGTAATTTATATTTTAAAGCTATATATTTTTATATTATATAACCTAGTTTTTTTATTATACTTCCTTTTTTATATAAAATAAAAATATTTTATTTTATTAATTTATTAATAATAATAAAAATATTATTATATAATATATTTATTATAAGCTTTTTTAATAATAGTAGCTTAATAATATAATTAAATAAAATAAAGCTTTAAAAATACATTAGTATTAGTAATAATTATACCTAACTATAAGGCTTTTATTAATTAGACTTTATTTTTTTATATAAAATATATAATTAAATAATTTCTTTAATAACCTTTTTTATATTTATAAAGGTATAATACTATTATATTTATTATAATATTTAGTAACTTTTTTATATTTATATAATAAATATTTATAAACTATTTTTATTACTTTTTTTTATAATAATTTTAATACCTCAATTTTTTTATTTTAATATAAGATTCTTTTTATAAAAATTATATTTTTAAGGAATTAATTTAATATTTAATTATTAATTTTATCTTTAATTTTATTAAAAATAAAGTTTTTATTTTTAATTATAAAAAGGTATTAATAACTATTAGTTTATAATAGCCTTCTGCTATTATTTAAAATATTAATAAAGTAAATTTTAGTATTAATTTAAAGTAGTTTTTTTTATAGCTAA